CCCCCTGCCTCAAAAGCCATAATTCACATATAAACTTCTTGAGGGGCCAAAACACTCTTCTGCCTCCCATGCCCTAGGGCAGTAATAGTTGCTGCATATTCTGGAGAGGCACTTTCCCTGGTTTAATGATAGGAGCATTTCCTTTCATGATATCACTAGTCCCATGGCAGACACTTACAACCAAAGCCAGAAAGTACCAGCAGGACTGCTTAGACACTGGCTAGGCTGCTCCACAACCTTGGAAGCTAACAATGTTCACTTATTTCCAAAGTTCTGAAAAGTACCTCTGCAGCACAGTAAGGACAGGTGGCCACAAAGCCTCAGACACTTCAAAATACCCAGGAGCTCCTGGGTAGCTCCTGGGTATTTAGTGGGTAATTACGGGGAGCTACTGACACTCACCAGAATCTAGGTCACTGGCTCAATCACAGTCCCAGGCTGTGATAACTAAAAAAAACAAGGCAACAACTTAGCTGGAGCAGGAAGCAATTCCCATATGTGAATTGGGATTAAATGATTTCACTACCAGCTCCTTTGCTAGACATCATCCTGCTCCTGGCTCCCAACCACCCTCTCCAGAGCTCCTGCTGGACAAAGCTTCCCCTGTGCTCTACTGGGTAAGCTTCAAAAGTTAGTTGTATATAGAAAACAAAGAGTACAGAAGTTGATTTGAACTGTGATGCTCCCAATTTCCTTTACTTTAGACACGGACAGCACTATCTTTGGAAACCTTTCTGTAGAGTTCACACAGGCCCAGCCCAATTGTTCTGGGCAACCTCCTCTACTCCCCTCCTCAGCCCAATGTACACTGAGTGGTAGGGCCAGAGCTGAATTTAACACTGCTGTGTAATGTAAGTTCTATGCCCCTGAAACAGAGAAGCCAAAAGTTGCTTGGCAGCTAGCTGTAGTGGTAATACAGTGGTACTGGAGATAAGCCCTGGAGAGCAGAACATGCATCCATGACCCCAGGGGCTTGAGTTCTAAGGCAGGACTCTAGCAACAGCACTGGAACACCATCCCTGCCTGAAAAAGGGCGTGCTGAACAAGCAGATGGAACAAAGACCCCCTTCCCCTGGCCAGGTCTAGTACCTGCTTTCAATTTCCGCCTCTTGTGGGAGAGGCTCGTGTGTTCCTCCTCCTCTCGTTCAGTCAAGTACTCCCCCGTCTGGTATTTCCGACTTTTCTGCCGTCTCCTCTTCTTCCTCTTGATGTGGCTGTCCTCCTCTTCCTCCTCATTGAGATCCCATAGCTGTCTTGGTGACTCCACTCTCCACGGCAGCTCCCGAGTCCTCCTCAGGTGGCAGCTACTTCTCTCTGACAGAGACTGGTCTCTGGCTCTGCGGCTGTGATAACGAGAAGTCCTATGGGATTTCCTCAGTTTGCGGTGTTTCAAGGATGGCTCTGCCTCTTCATCCTCCTCCTCCTCCTGCTCATCCTCCAGCAGTGGTAAGATCTCTTGGCCAGTCACATCACATTCTCCTGTCATGCTAGCAGAGGAGCCACCAGCACTTCCTGCAGGAATACGCAAGAGGCATTTCTAGCTGTTAAGAGACCCTCCCTACGCAAAGGGGAAGCATCCATTAAAAGAGTCTCTCCCAGCTAAGAAATAAGAGCTCTTCTCTGACACCCCGACAAAACCTTCCAATCCCAAAAATCCCAACAGGACCAGATTAGTAGGGACATGCTCCCCTAAGGCCCAGCAAACAGTTCAGGGAAAAGTTCCCTGCTCCTGACAGCCAAATGTCGTTTGACCCCAGTAATCTTTCCTGCCATGGCAGGGGGTCAGACTAGATGATCTACTCAGGTCCCTTCCGACCCTAGAAACTATGAAACTATAAATGCAGGACTCGCAGTGCCTGACAGACAAGGGCATCTTGGCTCAGCCATTCTACTGGCTGAAACCCCCTGGCAGAGGCTGGTCTCGACCTTTTGCAGCTACCAACCTGATTGACTGCGTGTCCGGCTGCTCAGAACAACTGGGATGAAGTCCCGGAAATTGTTCTTGGGTTTCTTCTCAAGGTAACCTGGGGAGAAAGGAGAGCCCTCAGGACTAATACCACTGAGAAGCAGAATTCTGGTGTAAGTGGAGGGCTCCTGGCCTGGGGAGGGCAATATATCATGTCATGCTGGGTCTCTACAGAGGATTCTAGCTTGCTGTGGCTAGTGCCCAGCTCCACAGCCCACACCTTGCCTGCACACACAGCTTCAGGAGAGATAATGGCTTGCCCTGGTGGCAGAGGGAAAGAGGGAAGCAAGGTGTCACAGGCAATGCTACAGCATGGAGAACAGTTTGAAGTCTGTAATAGTACCTTCCTCGTTGTTATCCCCAGGATGACCTGGTGTTGGAACCTCTGTTTTTGCTGGCCTCCTGCGTTTGCGCTTCACCCTGAGGCTGTTGTGCTCTTTCACTGATGCCAGGCCTACCCGGCTTTCTCGTTTGCTGCTGTCATGCAGGTCATCATGATGCTTTCGCCACTGCAGCAAAGGACAGTTTCAGCCCAAGCTCAACACAACTCACTATGCTGAGGCAGTACAAAAAGATTCCAGAAAACTGTTTCCCACAACCCCAGCTCTGTGATTACCCTGCAGCTAACCTTTCCTGCGGGCAAGATACGTAGCTCTGTTGATGCTCCTCAGGCCTGAACCACAGGCCCTGCTACTCCAGTCAACCCCAGCCCACCCTTAAATACGCTGAAGGGAAAGCCAACCAGGTTTCTCAAATCTGTTCCTAAACAGTTATGACTCCCTTTTGCAACTCCAGTGACAGGCCCCTTTCTAAATCTAACTCTGTCTGTGGTCACCAGCATTATTCTAGGAAGCTCTAAATCCCAATCCTGATCCCATCTACCTCCTATGACTCGCACCCTTTCTGGGGGCTAATGACCCTCCTCAGGGATCCCTCACACACCTTGCGTCCATGCAGGTTTCGGCTCCCTGGCTTGCTTGGAGTCTCCTCTCCATCTTGGGCTCTGCATTTCAGTCTCTTGTGGGCCTCTTTAGCTGGCCCATCATGCTGCTGCTTGGACTTGCAGTGTATGATGACCTCCTGTTTAATTTGGCCCGTTCCTTTGAATTTGGCATCAGTGAAGCCCTTGGGAATAGCCCCGGGTTGCACACAAGCCACAGAAGTGAATGGCATGTCACATTCTGCTCGCTCCTTCTTCACCCTGCACAGGTCCACCTGGTGCACGCACTGTGGGGCCTCAGAGGCTGGTTGCTCCCAGGATGCCTCACAGTCCAGATCCTTGTGCTGCCCCTCCACAGGTGTCACAGGCAGCTCATAGGAAGCTCGCAGGCTCTGCTGATTGGCTATGGGCAGGTCATGTGACAAGTAGGCAGCTAATACTTGACTTTTAGGTTTTGTGTCTACCTGCTTGAGGCTACAGCTCCCCTGGGGAACTTCAGTTTGTCCACTGCTTTCATTGCTGGATTCAGCCTTTGGTTCACCATACTCCTGGCTCCTTGAAGGGCTTTCTGGCCTCCCCTTTTCTCCCCTTGCATCCACAGCATTGGTTTGAGGCGATAGAGCTGTACCCATGGGAACTGGATTCATAGGCTCCTCGTAGAGCTTGGGCAAGGCCCTGCAGTTCTTGCTCTTGGACTGGGCTTCCTGATCTAGAGATGGAAGCCTGGGCAGCCCCTCAGGAGCCTTGGTGGCTGCTGTGCTGGATTCTGCAGGCTGCATGCTGGGAAATGTGGGAAGTTCACCTGCACTGGATGGTTTGGAAGGGCCACTCTGATTTGGGGGCAGCTGTCCAGGTGTAGAGATGCCAATTGAAAGCAGAGGGGTCTGGTGATAAGGAGACCACCCAACAGGCAGAAGCTGGGGACTAGTAGGTTTCCCATTTACTGGGCATCGGGGATAAACACTTCCCTGACCAGGATTCCAAGGAGACAGTTCCTTGGATGGGCACAATGATGCCCCTGGAGTGACTCTGCCATGAAGGAATCGCCTAGTTGGGTCCTGCTGTACCTCCAAACTAGCCTGGCTGGATTTCTTCCCACAGGGTGGCCCAGCATTTCGGGGCTCTCCCTGATCAATGATGGAAATGGGTTCCTGTTTAGGGAGGTGCTGTGGGTCCCTGCTGAAGTTAACATTAGAGTCCTTGCTAAGCAGCAGAGATGCAGGCACTGGATTTGCCACTCCCACATAGGTGCCTGGAATGGTGCTAATGAGTGTGGTGGAGTTTTTCACCCAGGAGCCCTGTTCCCCATTACGCAGGAACTCAGGGAAAATTACAAAGGGAGGGGTGGTGCCCAGACATGAAGTGACATTGCTGCCTGTGCTCTGGGCTGCTCGCTGGGACCTGGACAGGACTGTGGTGAGCAGTGCCTTGCTGCTGGTGTGCACAGGAGTAAGGATGGGCATAGGAGGTGTTTTGCGCTGACTCGGTGGAGGCAACTTCTGGCGGTTGGATTTAGAGGACAGATCAAGGGGCATCTCACTGCACTCTGGGGAAGAGATCATCTCACGCTCCAGCTGTGGGGGGGATTTCAATGGTGAAAGAGAAGTTGTAGCTCCTTGGGCAAGCTGCTCTGGAGCCCCTGGGGCCCTGGTGTGCAGAACAGTGCCTGATGGTGGGGCTGCACTTCCACATGATGCAGGCAGGGAAGGCTGGCTGGGAGGAAGGGAAGAGCCATCTGTGGCAGGGGAAGGGCCTTCAGCAGCAGGCTGAGTACCACTTCCAGCTGAAGGGGAAGAGCAGCTTAGCTGGTTTACCTCCACAGGCACCACTTTGGAGTCTGGAGCTAAGGGTCTGGCCACAGAAAAGGTATAGGGATATGAGTGCAGCTCTGGGGGTGCAATAATCCCTGGCAGGCAGCGCTCATGCAGGTATGAGGGCAGGACTGGAAGGGTGAGTGTGGAAGAGACCCCTAGGGTGGTTGGAAGTGTAGCCACACTAAGTGGCTGCCCACAGCTGGGGGGTGGGATGTATACAAGGGGCTGACTTGGTGTCAGAACTGCCCCAGGTTGAAAGGACAGGGGCATTTTTTGCATAGCAGGAGCCTGAGATGTGGGAAAACACACTCTGTTCAGGGTGAAGGTGGCTGGGTTGGAGGCAGGAGTGCTGCAACTGGAAGCAACCAAAGATGGGGTCCCCACTGCAGATACTCCTGCCCCCTGTGCTCCAGCACTGAGTGTGCTCTTCTCTTTCTCGGCATGCTCACTGTCTGGAGCCTTGGGACAGGCAGGTGACCCATCAGCCTGTTTGTCAGCAGGGAGGCTTGTGGGTGTAGGGTTGATCCCACTGTTGTTCTCATCTGCAGCTGCTGAGATTGCAGGCTCCAACCCTCTCTCATCTTCCTGAGTTGCCAGAGGAAATGGCACAGCATCATCTTTCACCACATTCCCAGTACACTCTGGGTTTGGTTTCGGATCAGGTGGCTGTTCTTCCAGCTTAGGCCCCAGCTTCTCCTCCACACTGCCATCTGCATCCAGCCCCTGGGCATTGCTGCCACTACTGCTGACTGCTGTGAGCTCCACCTGCAAAGAGAAAGGGACTCCCTGAAAGATGAGCCAGTATTCCCAAGAGAAATTATCTGTTCCCCCTCCTCCCTGGGTCTCCAACAGACATGGAGAAGCCTGGAGGGAAGGGGAGCAGCAAAATAGCTCTTTCTAGATTAAAGGGCTGCTTCCATGCCCTGTCTATTCCCCCGAAAAGGGATTCTCCCTGGGACCTGGGCAGACTACCTGGCATGGCCCTTTCATTGAAAAAATCCACCTCTTTAGCATACAAGGGGCTCACCTTGGAAAGGCTGCTGCCAACGCAAAACTCCTGAGACCCCAAGTGCTTGGAGCTGCTCGTGTTAGACTCCTCATCAGAAAGCGGGGCTCTCCTATTGCACAGACAAGACAAAGGAGGTACAATGAAACCCAGAGGCATTCTTGTAGCACGCTGCTCACCCTTGCACTACAAACTTACAGGACAGCTGCTGGGTTTCCAAAGAGGCCTGCCTGACAAAGAGGAATAGGAGTTCTTCATGAGAGCCAAATCCTGTGCCTCTTCATGCCACCTGCCCCATCACTTTCCAGAACTTGCAAACATGACCCATGAAAGACAGACACAAACAAACAAATCCTGGAGGACCAGCCACTCCCTGCCTCTCAAAACAAAGGTGCCAAGCCAAGCAGACTGCACTGTCCTCAGATGCAGAGTTAAAGAAAGCCAGGGTTTGGGAAGCAACAGCAAGGCAGTGCCATCCTCTTAAGAAATAGATAGAAAACTATTGTCTAGAACAGGGGTCGGCAACGTTTTTGGGCAGTGCCAAAAACACCTAGACCCTTGACTTTTAAGATACTGGTGTGGCAGAGGAGGACAGCGGGGAAGCCACATGGGACCCAATCCTTTTTGTGGCAGTGCAGCCTTAGCCCCTTCCCCAAGGCATGCGTGCCAAACAAAACGCCTTCACGTGCCACTCTGGCACGCATTCCAGGGGTTGCCTACCCCAGTCTAGAAGTTCTATGGCTCCTGAGGGGTTACAGCAGCCAAAACAGCAAGATGGGGGTAGGGAAAGGCTATCAATAGCTATGATCCAAAGGTCCTGGAGACCCTGAAGACTCAACTTGCCCACCAAGCAGTCCCACCCAACCCCAGTCCTGCCAGACAGTCCCATGCAACTCTCTTCTTCCCACATTTCCCATTTCCCCAACTCCATTTCTCCATACAGCCCCCACTGCATTCAATTCCAAATCTGGAGGGAGATTATCAGATACAAGAGCTACAGTCCTCCTGCCAAGACCAACACCAGAACCAGGACTTGTTTTCCATGGGTTGGCAGGAAAATTGAGAAATGGCACAGTTCTTAACATGTTTGGTGTCCTGAGGGATGAGGCCATGCACCTAGGAACACAAAATCCTAACCTCCCGCCACCCCAGGCTTCGTAGGTTGACTATATGGAAGCCCCATAATACTTTTGCCCACTCTCTTGCCCACTCTAATGAGGCCCTTGAAGAGATGAAGCTGCTGAAACTGCATGTTAGAGTGCTGATCTTCAAGTCTGGACATCCCAATAAGCTGAGGCTACATGGTTGGCCAATTGTTCCTGATCAGATGTCCTTGGGATCATAACCCTATAACCAGTACCTTCTGCACTTGCATGAGCCTCATGCATCCTATGCTGGTACTTCCCCTTTCACATGTCTGTGCCCTCATGATGCAAAGGAAAGCACAGCACCTCTCACAGCTTCCTCCCTGCCATTTCTATCAGACATCCATCTTCCTGTCATCCTTTACAAATGTAATTTAACATGGATTTCTTAAATCTGGGCTCCCCATGTTATTCAGGCTGCAAAAGGCTTAAAAGGATTGATATTAATAAGGGGAGATCAAGTTTCTGCTATAGGCTGCAGCATTATCCTGATGACAGCTGAGAGGTTACAAGATGAGGGGGACTAAGGGCCAAGAGACGGGCACTTAGAATCAACGTCCAAGATGAACTTTTTGTAACTTCTACCTCCTCCCCCAACTCCTCTCCGTGTGGCTCAGATGCAGCATCTGGTTTACATTCAGATCCCTGCTGCTTGCCCAGTTTGTCAGCCAGTCTGGCTGAAACAGGAGGAAGGAACTCAGTAGCATAACTAGTGGTTGGCAACTGGAGCAGGAGCTCTGGGTACTGAGTTAAAGGGGGGCACCAGCAACAGGTGTTGATGCAGTACTTTCAAGGGAGGGAGGCAGCACTCATGGAAGGGGAAGGGTATGTGCCACTAAATTGAGCACTGACACCTCCCAGTGGCAATGGGATTCAGCAGCATTGGGTATTGGTGACAGCTGTAGGGCATGTTACCCCCACCCCCAACTGCTGGCCATGCTGACACCTCCCACTATAGCAGTGGCATCTCCCACAGGTTAGTGGGGTGTACACCTAGGACACAAATCTTATCAATTATATCTCCAAACGAACTTGCCCAAGGTTATTCAGCGAATCAGTGGCTCAGCAAGGATTCGTAGCCAGGGCAGGTATTTTATTCAGCCAAGTATGTGGGCTCCTTACAGAAAGCATCTGTGGCACTACTGCCACAGAGCTGGTCAAGAATGAGGCACAGAACATTAGGTCTAAGCTAGCTCACCAGCAACTTTCATGGTGGAGCTGGGCCTTTGAAAGCATGCAAAAGACATGGGCAGTGTTGGTGCCTCTTGTACCCTCTAAGTATGCAGTGGGATACTGAGTACAAGCTGGAACACTCCTGTACCAAAAAAAGCAGAGTCCTGTCCTTCCCACACTGAGGTGGCCTAGAAGAACTGGAATACTTATTGTTCCTTAACCCTCCATCTGCCACTGGTAAGCAAGATCTCTGCTAACCCACAACACGTGACCTGAACTGACCAGGGCTCTGGGGAGCTGGGTGGATGCAGTGAAAGGGCACCAGCTGAACAGGCTTTCTCTGTAACAACCTGCAGGATGGCTGGTGCATGCAGAGCTGAACTTTGGCTCCACCTCCTGCTCCAGTGCCTGAGCAAGCCCCTCCACAGGCAAAGACAGGGATGCAGCAGAGGCAGCAGGTGGAGCCAGAGTGCAACTCCAAGCTCCGCAACAGCGCGGGCGGCTCTAGCACTCAATCCTGAGGGAGCTGGCCAGCAGAACCAAGCACCTCCAGCCTGCCTGAGGGGCACCATGGCAAGCATCTACCTACCCATGTTCTCTGCTGCCTGTATGTGGGTGAGGGAACCACCCATTCCATTCAGATTACCCAGTGCAGTGAGCCCCTGCCTTGGAGAGAGAAGACTCCCACTCCCCAGGACAGCACCTGTCTAACAAGTCTCCTAGGGCCAGTCATACCAAACATGTAGGGTGCAGATCCACAGGCAGACTGCAGGCTGGTGAAGCTGTAGTTGCCCCTCAGCTTCTGTGACAGCCTCAAGATAGGGCTTCTGAACCCTTTCTCACTTTTCCGCTTGTTCCAAGGAGAGAAGGTCTTGTCTCTGCAGCAGTCTTAAGAGCTAAACTATCAGCTCTCCTGTTCATACAACTAGGGATTATGCAAACAACCTTCTGTTTGTCATATTGCTGAGCAAATAGGATGGGATTAGAGCAACCAGGGGCAAGAGAAGAGGGCCAGTGTCAACCCTAAAAGATCCCCAGATCCTCTTCATCCCTGGAAGCAACGGACTGAACTACACCCAGTGTACTCTGCTGGTATTTCTTAGCTTTGCTCTAGAGAGGCCACACGGAGACTAAGGTGTTTAGTTGCAATCAATTGCTTAGTCTGTCTTGCTCAAATGTTATGTTTGGTCTATTCAATATTTTGTTAAGGTGCCTAGAGCAGGGGTCAGCAACCCATAGCCTATGGGCCAGATCTGGCCCACGGAACCATTGGATCCAGCCCACAAAGCTCAGGCTTCAGTGACATTTGGCAGTGGGGGACTTTGCCCATGCTCCACTACAGCTAGGCAGCAGGGAGAAGCTGTGGTGATGGGAAGGGTGGCAGCTGGGTCATTCCAGCCCACAGCCAGAAAACATTGCTCTAGGATAGCCATCAGCACTTAATGAGCTCAGCTGCCCGAAGTGTATTACAATTTAGATCCAGCCTTCATCACAGTGGAACTAAGATGGAAGGCCAGCTCCTAACAGGACTACAGAGGACCATGCTTCAGCTCGGAGCTTCTCTTTTTCCAGATTGTCTGAACCTTTCTCCACTCCCTGCTCATGTTCCATCTTACAAGCTGAAATGTCCCCTACTCCACTGTTCTCCCTTTTCGCTGCTTGAAAAGTTATCCTGATGTCCAAGATGCTAACATCCCAAATACAGGACAGCCACACAACACACTTTTCAGTCCAGATAATGAGGATTTTCCAACCCTAAATCATCTACCAGAGCTGAACAAGCTATACTGTACTCTAAAGCTGGGGAAGACAAACAACTGCAAGCATAGTTTATAAAATCTAAAACTGTAGGAACAAATAGGGATGCAGAAACCATCAAAGCGATGACATGAGACAGTTCAGGACTCTTACAAAAACAGGTCCTGACTGGTCCTGTCTCACAGTGGCTAATAATTGCTAATTCCCAAGCCTAGTACACTTTAGGCAAACTCCCCCAACCAAACCTCTAACCTGCACCACGAAAGCCTAGCCATTGAAAGCCTCTCTCAGTACCCAGACCCATACAAGCCACCTAGCTTTCTTCCCACTTCTCAACCTGTCAGGTTCAACAGCAGTTGGATAAGACCATATATGTGACGAACAAAGAAAGAAACAATGACACAGAAGGGGGCAATCATGTTGTAGGCAATGTCACTTCTTCTGTAACTCTGCCACAAAGAGTGCTCTGGTGCCATACTGGCAATAACTCGTTAGAGGGTTGAAACCTCCCAGTACAGTTAATCTACAAGCACTGAACTCTCTCCTTTGGGCCTGGCTCACAGGCACTGTGAGACTCAACCACCTAATGTATTTATTTGCTGCCCATTTGCTCCTCAGCAACTTGGTCCTGAAACAGATCATACAACTCAGCTCTGTAAATGGCACTGCATTGCCTTCACACAGAATTAATAAATAGAGCTCCCTGGGCTCTCTGCTCTAACCTTTCCTGCTCCTTAATCCAGGCTCCCTGCCTGCAGGATCCTTTCCCTGGTAAGCCACCCACGCACCTCACCTCTCCTCGTTGAGGCCACACATGCGAATCCGCTCAGCACTGGTCCAGTTGTGCACCCCACTGTAGAGAGGTGCTGTAGAGATCATGACAGCTGTTTGTCACCAGTCAGGACCTGCTGGGTCTTGTGGGGCCACTCCACCTACAAAGCCAAAATAAAGAGTCAGAAACCCTCCCAGAATGCTTCATTCAGTTGCATTCCTTACAGTTATCCAAGAAAACTATACATCTGAGGGACACTGGAGAGAGTTCACCTGTAGGCAGGGCACATAGAAATGAAGAGCCTGGGGATGAAGTTTTCTCCTTATCTGCTACTTGCAGATTCATTTTCATGCTGCTGGTATACAACCCTAAAGATGCTACAAGTCTATCTGGAAGAGGTTTGAGGAATGTAGTCACATGCTAGGGACAGTGCACTCTGCCTATGCCCAAACTAGACTTTAAGTAAAACCCATTCAGTCTGTAGTAGGATTTGGGCTACCCCACAAGACCTCTGTGCCTTGACTGTCCTTCTTGCTCCTCCCCCACTCACTGAAGACCTTGCAGATAAAGGAGGCAGGCAGAAGACAAACTTTACTCAAGACAATGGACTTTTTATGAGATTGAATGATTTTATATCATCAACCAGCCTCCACCATCTTACGAGGCAATGGAACACAGAGGAAGGAGACACCAGGTAACTAAGCTAAATGCAAGAGGACCTTCTGCATAGGAAGAAGTGGTACTTGCAGTCCCAGGATGAAGGATGGAAAGTAGGAACCCTGACTGAGGAACTGGGTGGAAAGCTAAACATCTATACAGATTCTTTAAACAAAGTTCTGCCACCTAGTGCATTAGGTGCTTTCACACCTGATACACAGACATAGTTTAAGTTTCTGGGGTGTTTGTGGGGCTCCTATGGAAAGAGATGAAGGACCACATGTGTGAGGAGTTTGAAAAGTACAGTGACCTGGCAGAGGGAAGACAGCTGCAGATGAGAGAAGTGCTTAAATATTCAAACACTTTTAAGAGCAGAACCTAGTCAAAAGTTAAACAAAACACCTATAAACTGCAAGGGAAGAAGTGTAAGCAGTTAAACAGATAACTGGGATGAACATAAGATGTCTTGCACCCAGAGATGCACAATGCATCCAGAGAGAGTAAGAGGTGGCTTAGGGCAGGAAGGGGAGGAGTTATATGGTGCTTGGAGAGAAACGTGGAAGAACATAAAGGAAATAGGGGAACAAACAATCTGCAGGAATTTTGCCATCCTGGACTAAACTGAAAGAGGAGAGGAAAGCCTCTGCTTGTGAGTGCACAACAGCAGGACAGATGTTCAGGGAGAGCTTCATGAGGATCTAGTCTTGGACTAGGGAAAGACTACTGAGCTAAACAGAACAGAAGTTCACGCAGAAAGTGAGATAAGAAACTTAAGGCAAGCACAGATGAGGCACATTGTGGCTTGAAATTAAAGATGCCAAGAGACAAGGCTGATAACAACATTTCACAAGCAGTTACAAACACCACATTTTTCAGGGCCAACAGAGGCAACACAGCCTCTAGAAAGGCAGTTCCCAATCTGTGGTACGTGTACCACCAGTGGTACACAGACAACCTGTCAGTTGTACACATTAACAGATTTATTATAATTACTTTATATGACAAAAATTTGCTGGTGGTACTTAAGGTTGTATCGTTTTAAATTGGTGGTGTGCAATCTGTCAGAGGTTGGGAACCGCTGCTCTAGAAGATAGTTAGGAGGATGTAGTGACAGAGAGAAACTACTGAATGAATTTTTGGTCTCTAGTCTCTAAGGAGGATGAAGGAGATATGCCAAAGACAGACATATCCCAGGGAAAGAAGAAAAAACAAAGAGGAAAATCAGAATCCCAAACAAAAGATGGGATCAAGGAATTCAAGTGTAAAAAGACAAAACACCTAGCTCAAGTGGGCTCAAACCCAGCTCCATAAGAAGCAGGAAAAGAAAGTGGACTGGAAACAAGAGGTGTCTGGTCCAGAAGTCTGAGAAATGCAGGGGAAAATAACCCCCTTAGATGTAACAGAGCTAGAAAATGTCATCAGGGAGTCCTGACAGGCAAAAGCAATAGTTAATTGTGTTAGCTCAATCAAGCCAGGTCAATACCCAGTCTACACAAAAAAGCTGAACATTTAAACACACGTAACTCAACTAATCCAAATACATTAATAGATACAATAATGTTAGTTTGGAGTCATTTACACTCTTTCAGTTTAAACAAATTCCCAATCAATTTGAAGAAAACCCAAATAAACTTGCTTTAAACTGAAATCAGAGCATCCACACAGCTTTTTGCACAGGGTAACTTAGAGTGTGTCATTACATTCATACAATTTTGTAAGTGTGAACAAGCCATAAAGCATGTTGCTGACCTGCTAACCCAGCCTGGCAGAAAACAGTTTTTTTAAAATGAAAAACTATACTGTAAGTAGCAAGTAGAGTTAAAAACCATGTTTCTCTGTAGGCTTCAACTTAACCTGTGTTGCAACTTCAACTGTTTTAGCTTTGCTAAGATTTTAACTCACGTTAGCTCACACATACATTTTGTCTCTGAAGCATGTTCTGACTAAATTTCCTTTCAACCATTTGTCTAAGCAAAAATGCAGTTACACTAAGACCTGATCTACTTGCAGTTGTTTCACTGATTTAACCATGTCAGTTAGGGACAAGATTTTCTAACAACATAGGTAAATCTGGGCAAAACAATCCCTGGAGTGGATGCAGCTACAATGATACAGAAATTCCATTTACCAATTTAACACATTCCCATTCCAATGGAGATATTCCACCAGAGCATAAACACCTTTATAGTGGGGTATTTGCATCTGCATTAGTGGGCTGTACTTTAGTGATCCTGATATAGTTTGTACACACTTTACCAGTTATAGTTACAGTGGTAAATACATTCTGGGTACCAACAAGGCCTCTGAGTTTGAAACCATTCTCTCCCCACTGCTATAGCACTAACAGGAACATGGGTACAGGCCAGTTGCCAGCATCTTACCACTCTCAGCTAAACCTTATTCCAGTCAACTATCAGGTATCAAGATACTAAAAACATTGACTATATACACTAGTAGTCCCACCACTGCTAGCATCAATGGAGCTGCACCACTAGCACAAATTCCACCCCTGGAATTTTTCTAGCCCTGATTATCAGTGGCTAGTGATGCAGATGCCCTATGTCGGGCCTAGTAGTGCACACAGTCCCCTGGAGCCTTATCTGCAATGTTGCAGCACACCCTGGTTTTAAAAAAGGGTAAGCTTCACCAGCGTAAATAGTGGCCTGTCTGTACTAGGCATTGAACTGCTGCATGTACGCTGGTGGCTGTAACTGGGGCAAATTCCCAGCATTATGCAAAACTAAGGCCAATGGTGTTATCTGCAAGGCCTGCTTCAGACCATTCCTCTGCTAATATAATTTGGCAAAGCAGACAGAAAAATGCACTCAGCTGGGCTTTAGTTTCCTTAAGAACACCATAAACCTCATCTGTCTGCTCTCCCTCCTCTTCCTCCTGTGATGGGCTCTCAGCTTTTTTCTCTGAAGTGGAACACACTAGCAGCATGTCTTGACAAAAGGACACTGAGAATTCCCAACCTTAGAATTTTTCCCTGTGTGCCCTCCTCTGTAGCAACTACTATGGAGAATGAGCACATGGCTACTTTCAAAAGGTGCTGTACAAAAGTTAGCCAGAGGCACTGTGAAACGCTTAACATGGGCTGCACTTTGACCCTGGAATGCACTTACAGTAGATATCTTTGCAACACTCAGTCTCAGATATGAACAAAATGTGACATATATTAAGACAGAGTCGCAACATCTGAGACCCATATATATTTTTTTTAATTCCATTTGTTTTGAGCACATCAACCACCACTTGGTAGTACACATGGCACAGAACTTCTGCTGGAGAATCTAACTGAAAGTGACAGAACAAAAGTGAAACTAACTGCACTGACTTTTCAGTGAAACTTACAGAAATGCCAAAAGGAAACAAACTGCATCACTTAATCATCAAATTTATTGTTAGTGTTTCTTTCAATTTAGTAATCTTTGATGCTATTGGTAGCACAGGCAATAATTGTTTACAGCATTGCATCTTTGAGAGCCCTTTTGAAATGTGGTAGCCCACTCAATGATAAATCCAAAGAGCCTTCAGAAATGTCCCATATATGCATTTCACACAAACCATTTTAACTAACCCGTTTGCAGTGGGAGTAGGACAATCCTACTGCAGGCATTATACATGGCCCATGAATCCCGCTAGGAAAATGGTTTACAGAAGTGAATGCAAATTTCTCTTGTGATCACAATACTTCCCTTGAAGAGTTTAGAACTGTAATGCTGACAAATGTTTTACCTGTCTAAAACCAAATGGAGTCTTGAATAAGCCAGATCATGCCTAGTACTAACTTCAATAGGACCCGCTCATGCTAAATTTGGCTGTTAGACTGGATCACAATCTAGCCCTAACTTTGGGCCTCCAACTTTACTAACTAATGTTCCAACCCAGATACCTCAGCTACTGCTGTGCTGAGCTAACCTTTGCCTGTATGTATTCACTTGTACCAGGTCAGAGACACAGTAACACTATAAGTAACAGCAAATGGCTAGTATAATGCACTGAAAAAGTGCATCATCCCCATTTTAAGCCTGGAAAGTTTCCTGAAAATTTAGCATAGTTTAAAAAGCAAGTCCCCAGTACTGGCTAATGCTGCATCTAGTCACTCAGTCTCTCATGGCAAAAAGTCCACCCCTACAGAAGCTTTATATAGCAAATTCATAAAGTGGACTGGAATAAAAGGTAGGAAACCTTTACAAAATTTGACATCCAGAAAAAATATACACAATTTTATCATTTTATTTAAATGTTGACTAACTATTACGTATGACACTAAATCAAAATATGTACACTGACTCTAGGTCCATACTAGTCCTCACATTGTTGATGCCCTTGTTAAGCTGAACTGGTGGGAGTAATGTGAGAAATGGTGAAAAAAAAAAAAAAAAAAGGCTAACATGCATACAGCCCAAAGTTTCAAAGCTGCACAGATAAACAAGCCCCTTCATCCACGCAGTCTTGCCAACTTGGTGACACTGCACATGGGCAGCACTCTACCTTGCAAAAAATCAAGACCTGGTGTTCCCTTGACCCAGTTCCATCCACCATAAAAACCAAGATATTTTAATCCATTTGCCTGGGATCAGCTGTAAACTTTCCAAGTTAACTAAAGGAAAGCTTCACTTTCCTACCCAGTGAAGCTGTTCAAAGACTCCTCCCACTGAATCCAAAAATGTCCTTCATCTTTAACACAACGTCAAGAACAAGTCTGCAGCAGTCCCCTACCCTCAAATACAACTGATCCTTAGAAAGCAAAATTGGTCAACGGTGACAGCCACTCTCTGGCACCCGCAATATATTTTGTACGTGAATGCAGTAGTTGAGGCCTGTATCTGTCTCTGCAACAAGCTGCCTGCAAGATCATTTTGACCCAGAGGGAAGAGCCTTCTCTTGTGGAGTGCCAGCATGGTGCAGATCATAGGTGTCCAGACTAGGAGGGGACGGAAGGGCATGAGGTTCCATTCCCTATTCTGCCACTGACCTGCTACATGACCTTGGGCAAGTCACGCCCCTCTCGGCCTATTTTCTCTTCACCTGTTATCTGTGTGGTCTAGTTATCTTGTCAGGCCGCTGGAGCAGGGGTGGCCTGTTCGGTTTAGTCTCTACTTAAAAAGTTCTGCTGGCACAAGCCGGTTAGTTAGGAGTGGAAGGGATGCGGGGAAATCACACCCTCAGCCACTACAGCCATGTGGGCAAGAGCTCCAGCATGGACACAGTCCCACTAGCAGAAAAGTCCTGTGCGGGGAGAGGAGAAGTAACCCCTGGGCTCAAGATCTCCAGTGCAGGCAAGCCCTGACCCTAAGCAGGCATGGTGCCCAGCCCCATCTGGAGGGAGGCTGCCACAACAAGGCCAGTGAGGAAGCAGGAGATTGTGGCCCACATCTGTGCTCTGAGAAGCTGGTCCCCAACCCCTCCTCAGAGCTTTGCGTGGATCCTCTTCAGCTGGGAGGTGCCGGCTCCGGGACCAAGGGTGCTGTCTTCCTCAGCAGCCGCCTCTTGCAGCCGCCCCAGGTGAAAGGGAGGGGACGGGCAGCTTCCCCCGCTCCACCGCCTGGCGTCCCCGCCCCAGCCCCGGCGGCCGTCGCGTCCAGCGCCAAACTCTGCCCGAGTGAGGGGCGCCTTGGCAACAAGCCAGGGAGCGGAGCACGGCGCCTCGCCAGC